TGTCTTTACTTTGTCACTATAGATTCATTTGAAATTTCTAGAATTTTATATAATCATGAAGTATGCACACATAGTGATTTGATTTTTAGATTCATCCAGGTTCTTACACGTATCAGTAGTGGTTTGTTCCTTTGAGTGGCCAAGTTGTATTCTGTTGTATTCATGTACAACATGTGTCCATGACTTCTTTCCAAGGAAGTCCTTGTAATAATAAGAAAACAAAATTATGACTCCATTGTAAGTCAGTTAAGACAAAAGTCAAGTAGTTCTTTTACTTTTTATTATTTTTGCCTTTTATTATCAACATCTTTATAAATCTGATCTTTGAACACCTACGAGTGAACATCTGAAACTGAAAACATGAGCAAATTATGTGCTGCAATACTGTATGTAGTACATATTACTAATAATAAGGTGTACAAACAAACAGGTAATTGTAAGTGCAGTTCATTGAAACCTTAATATGTCGTAAGTCAGCAATTATCTGTGATATAATATGTAGTTGATGGCCTTGTTTTGTTTCTGTTTTCTAGCTTTTGGCTTTGTGAATAAAGCTGTTATGAACATGTTTACCTGGATGTATGTTGGGTGGACATATTATTTTTTTTTCTTTTAGAATGTCTCGATGGTATGCGATAAGCATATGCTTAACTTTTAAGAAAATGACAATTTTCCAAAGTAGTTGTGTAATTTTACATTCCCATCCATCATGTGTGAGTGCTACAGTTGTTCCACATCTTGGCTAACTCTTATTATTGTTGTTTTAATTTTAACTGTTCTAATGGTTATATAAGGAGCTCTAGAAATGGCATAGTGGATAAGGCACTTGACTGCTAACCAGAAGGTCAGCAGTTCAAACCCACCGGGTGTTCCATGGAAGGAAGACTGGGCGATCTACTTCTGTAAAGATTTATAGCCTTGGAAACTCAATGGGGGTTACTATGAGTGGGTATGTAGTGATATATCATTGTGGTTTTGATTTGCATACTCCAGTTGACTAATAAGGAGCTCTGGTGGCACAGTGCCCAAGGCATTTGACTGCTAATCAGAAGGCTAGAGGTTCAAACCCACCAGCCACTCCTCGAAAGGAAGGTTGGGCAATCTACTTCTGTAGTGATACTGCCTCAGAAACCCAAGGAGGGGTCGCTATGAGTCGAATACAACTCGAGGGC